AGGAGTTTGAGACCAGCCTAGGCAACATAGTGAGACCTTATCTGTACAAAAAATTAAAAATTAAATTTTTTTTGAAATGTTCATAGCATCTTTACTCATAATAGCCAAAAACTAGAAACAAACCAAACTGTGTGATTTCATCTATGAAATAAAAATCTGAAAACTGAACTATAGTTCAGAATGCTGATAAGTGTTTGTCAAGAGTCAGGATGGGAGAAGAGAACTGACTGCAAATGGGCAGAAAGGAAACCTTTTGGGGTGATGGAAATGTTTCGTATCATAACTGTATACATTATTGTACACATTTGTCAAAATTCAGATTGTACCCTTCAAATTAGTATATTATACTGTATATAAATCATACTTTAATCTTAAAAAGTATTATGTTACTAATCATACAACTAATATCATAAGTGCATGGTTTACCAAGCATTTTTACTTAATTTGTTCCTTAAACCCTATACCAAGGCTCAAAAGCTACATAACTTACATAAAGTCATACACCTAACAAGTGGCAGGGCTGGCACTCTAACCTAGCATTCCTACATATAACTATATGTAATAAAGAACTGATGCCAAAAGAAAGACCTCATGACTTCCTCTAGTTTCTGTGTAGGTCATGAAATAAATTTAGTGGATTAGACCACCATTTTTTTTAATGAAATGGAGAGGAGTGAGGAAAACTGGAAAGGAATAAAAAAGAAAAGATCAGAGTTCATAATGCTTAGAAATGTTAAATATTGGTTATCAAACTTTTGTTTCAAGTGAAAAACAGTTTGGAGGTTTATGTATGCTAGGCTACAAAATAAAATGTATTTCTTACTGTGAGTCCTAATCAAAAAGAGTATGAAAACCTTTGGGGCAGACCAAACAAGGGATTACAACTGTAAAGCTGGCTGCCATGAGATAAACAAAAGAGATGAAGAAGATCAGCAGAAGTACTGTGCTGCAGACAAGCAGTTGTAAAGGACAAAGGAGAAAACACAAGTCAAAAACAACTAGACTCCAAAAACACTCAGTGCACCTTGATGGATAATTAAGCATTGTTACATCTACATTTAATTTTCTCCTAATTTATCTCTTCAAACTTATCTTCCCTCACTCTAATTCCTCTCAACCTTTTTTGCCTCTTTTCAATCCAGGTATAAACAATGGAAGATTATAAACTAAACAGTGATTTCTTCAGCTTTATATTACCCTAGCACCTGAAAGGCACTTTATACATAGAGAATGCCCAGATACTTGTAGAATAAACACTATGTATAGCTATTAACTGTGCCTAGGGACCAAAACATAGTAATCCTATATTACTTTAACAAGACAGTATCCTGTGAAATTCAATTCTGATAGTAACTCAAGTAATAACCTTGAAATGTGAAGTACTTTTGCAAGCCTTTAACAGAACTTAAAGAGATATGTTTTTAACATGAATGTTTCCCATGATGTTTCCATTTAGTATTTCTAAAATACTATTATTCAAATGTATGACTACAGCACAAGGCTATTCTTATATGACTCTCCCAAATTCCACCCAAAAAAAGGCTATTCCCATTAAGAAATTCTAAATTAAAAGCACACATGCAATGTCTGTGTTATGAGATGGCAAATTTTAATTAGAAAACATACTGCCAGCACATATCAAAGCATCAATGGAAAATGCTTCCCTGAGCTCTAATACACCAGAAATAGTTAAAAAAGCCCTCAAAATACTCAGCTACCCTTTCACTTCTCACAGTTTCATACTGATCTGTACACATCCCCTGGGAGGCTCAGCTCCAAAGATGTCACACCACCTCTCTGTCCATACATCAGGAAATACTTTTTAAAGGAGTAAAAAAAAAAAAAAAAAAGACAGAACTGAATGCACAGGTTCAACATACTTCATCCTTGATGAAACTCACCAAAACCCAAGAGGAAGGTGAGAAGACATAATTAGCCATGCTTTACAAATAAATGAAAAATGAAATCATTGATTTGCCAAGGTCACAGAGCTAAGACGTAGTAAATTTCTATATTTCAACAAGAATCTTCTGATTCTAAATCTAATGCTCCTTCCACATTGCATCAGTCAACAATGAGTAAGAAAGAATTTATTCTTTAGTGCCTCCTGTTCAAGACAGCCATGCTTATTCTCAAACTTCTACAATAATGGATCAAGCTGCCTAAACCAGAGTACCTACTTGATCCTTCCCTCGATGAACTCCTGACCTACTCAAGGGACAAACTGAAGCATAAGGTCAGCAGAGAACAGTGAGAGTGAGGAAACACCAGTTCAGTCCGTAAGTCCATGTGAAGAGGGTCAATGAGGAAGTTAGGAGAGATGGTCATGTGTACATCTAAGAGGAAAGCAGAAGTAAGGCAACATTCAGTGATCCAGACAGGCGGTCAGAAAGACTGACAGAAGACCCATGTCACCCCCTCCATACCTTGTGCAAAAGGCAAGACTCCATCTCTAGGAAGCTTGACTAGGGCCAACCCAGGCCTAAATCCAATACCAGGCAGATTATCACAGTACTGACTCTTTCACTTGTTCAATAAAAAATTTAACATGCTTACCATGTGCCAGACAACATTCCAGGTTCAAGAAGTGTTAATAATGACATATCATCCCTGCCTTCAAAAGGTTTAAACTAGTAAGAAAGACAGACAGTAAGTGATGTACTACTAAAAATATATACTTGGCACTCTGGTAATAATCTAAAAATTTTGACCTTACTTGGGCCAGTTGCAAGCATAAGGGGAAAAGTGAAGAATGGGGGCAGGATAGAGAAAGAATTAACAAAGTCTTCAGTGAGGAACCCAATTATTGATATAAGACAGAGCAATACAGCTTTTGGAATAGCCTCTTGAAGCCACTCCATGATTTTGTTTCTAAAATTTTTTTTTTTTTGAGACAGAGTCTCACTTTGTTGCCCAGGCTAGAGTGAGTGCCGTGGCGTCAGTCTAGCTCACAGCAACCTCAAACTCCTGGGCTCAAGGGATCCTCCTGCCTCAGCCTCCCGAGTAGCTGGGACTACAGGCATGTGCCACCATGCCTGGCTAATTTTTTTGTATATATATTAGTTGGCCAATTAATTTCTTTCTATTTATAGTAGAGACAGGGTCTCGCTCTTGCTCAGGTTGGTTTCGAACTCCTGAACTCAAACGATCCACCCGCCTCGGCCTCCCAGAGAGCTAGGATTACAGGAGTGAGCCGCCACGCCCGGCCTGTTTCTAAAATTTAGGGTAAAGATTGTGGGTTGGCAGTGTGCAAACCCTGCCATATAGTGAAAGTAAGGGCAGTGTCTGAGTGAAACGGAAAAAAATGGAGTGTCCATAAAATATGAACAAACCTCAAAAATATCATCATACAGAATACTATCCAGCAATAACAGTGAATGAAGCCCTGATACATGCAACAATGTGGATGAATCTTGAAAGCATTATGTTAAGTGAAAGAAGTCAACCACAAAAGACCACATATTGTATGACTCCATTTATATGAAATGTCCAGAACAGGCAAATCTATAGAGACAGAAAGTAGACTGGTGGTTGTCTAGGACTGAGGGAGTTGAGGTAAAGTGGACAAGGACTATTTATAAATGTGAAGTTTCTTTGTAGGCTGATGAAAATGTTTTAAAATTGACTGCAGCAATCATTGTACAATTCTTGTGAATATACTAAAAATCACTGAATTATGGGTGAATTGGATGCTACATGAATTATATATCAAAGCTGTAACAAATATACCATTGTACGTTCTCATAAAAGTTCAAATGTAAAAATCGCAGATGGTTTTATTATCCGCCTTTAAGAAGCCATTTGCAGGCTAGGTTAAGTCAGCACAGTAAGTGTATGGGATTTGGAGCTACATGGAACAAGATTCAAGATACAGCTACACCACTTGCCAGCTGGGCACACTTGGGCAAGCTACTTACCAACCTGTCTGAGCTTAACATTGTCAGTTATAAAATAAAGACAACATCTACCTTGAAAGGTGAGAAATAAGTTGCATAATCTAAATAAGTGCTCTGTATTGCTACCATTTTCTAAATGTTAGTAAATGAAAAGTAAATGTTCTCCAAAACAACTACATACATATCTTTTTCTTAGATACTATTCAGAGGAATAAAACATATCAACATTCTAATTCAATTTTTCAAATCATTCATGTCAAGATCTATGTTTCATTCATCTTTGCAAGTCCACCTTACCCAGGTGCCTAAGATGGAACTTTGGATCAGAGGTGCTAAACATTTTTTGAGTGCTTACCATGGTCTAGTTACCCTGTTTTGTGCTTGACAGATGAGAAAGCTAAATTCAAAACATGGTCAATGGAGTTTTTTCCTCTATATTATGGTTACATATTTTTGGTGTAATTGTTTATTTAGGTTTGTTGTTGTTCTTGCTATTATTCCTTTACCATTAACCACGAGTTACATTCAAAAATATATTTCTCAGAGAAAAATAAACTATGCAAAGATTTGTAATTTCTCAGAAAAACTTGATTCTGTAAGAAGCTATAATGTATACAGTGTTAATTACTTTTAAGAAGCCCTATTATTTTCAGCATGAAGAACATATAGTAAGCCATGCCTCATTTTCTCATTTTTAAGCAAAAATTTAAAAAATATATGCATGATATTTTAGTCTGGTTTACTTTAATTAGCAACTACATATTTCTGAGAAGCTGACACGTCTTTAGCTATTTTTTTCTACTTCTTCCTGAAGTATAAAATTCCTTCCCAGAGAATGAGAGCTGATTTGAATGACTCAAAGTTGACTAACAATTTGTAATTAAACAAATTTTTTAAATTAACATATCAACTATTCCCTTTCACAACTTAAAAGCAACAATTTAATGTATTTTACCAGTTCTGCCTCTTATTTTAGCAATATAAAAACAGTACATTTCCAATACGTGCAGCTTTTAGCAATTTAAAAGGTGTTAGCAAGCATGCCACCAACATAACATAGTTAGTTAAAATTCATAACAAAGGAAACGTTGAGGATAACCTTACCATATCATCCGTCAGTGTCCTAATATTTAAATGCTGAAAATGAAAAAAACCAATCATGTCAGTAATTTATAAGAGTTTTTTTTTTAATTTTAGTTAATAGGATACATTCAAAATTCTATAATGCTAACTTAAATGTAATTAAATTCCTGACAGTCTAATAAAAATGTATTATATATTGTTTTAATCTCTTTCTCAAAAAGATGGACAAAAGTTATCCTGCACGTGGTAGTTTCAAACATTTACTAAAATTTATTGACTTTGTAAACCACACAAACTAGAAACCTAATTTGGGACAATAAATATATTCTCCTAATTAATAGTATTAATTACTATTACATATACGAACTTAGAACACAATGAATATAAGACAAATGATTTTCAGAAAATTTTTCAAATTACAAAACAGCGAAACTTTAAATTTACCATTAGTATGCAGCATAATAGATAATGAAGTACTTTGCTAGCTTAATTAACTTAAACAATTCTAGTAACGAAGAAGAATGTACTAGAATAACTATTTGCATCTTTAACATCAGTTTGATTTATCACCAGTGGTGACAGTAGACACTTTTCAATTTCATTGCTAGCTTCAAGAACTCTTTTGCTGATTTCCTTGCCAGACAAACATAAGACCACTTTAAAAAGTGAATAAATTAGTTTTCCTGCAAAGTGCAATTCAAACGAAAAAATAATTATTTAGAAAAAAAAGAAAACACAGAAATCTAAGTTTTATATATCCCAAAGTAGAGCAATGTTTTATATTCAAGTAGCTAGATTCAATTACCAATTCTCCTCTCTCTTATTCATTGGAGCATTATATCTTTAAAAGGGCAGAGAAAGGGTCAAATACACTTTCTAAATAGAAAAACAGGTCTACTCTTTTATACGTATAAAAGGACAGGTGTTAACAATTATCACCTTAACAATTATCACCTAACAGAATAAGTGGTACAAAAACATTTATTGAACAGAATGAAATTTATCATTCATGTTTGTATACTCAAGTACACCTTTATGCTCATGAATCTACCTCAGTGATGATCCAGAGTAAAAATCTGTTCAGTGTAAATCACTATCCCAGATTCTCCACTCCCTTTCTTTAACCAAGATGTTCCTTCTTCTAGTGCAAAGGAAAAAAAGTAACTGGAGGAACCTAAAATAAACTGTGTATATGCCAAAAAGAATGTGGCCATATAAATGACCATTAGCCCACCACTAGGTTAGAGATTGAACTGCCTGTTGAGTTAGAACTACTCACTTTGACTCAAGAATAAGGAAATAATAATAGTGGATAAACTAAGAGTTAGTGTCTATACTAGGCTTTAAAATTTGCTTTTTATCAATACTATTTTCAGCCTTTGACACTAACAAGTAATGCTTCCTATGGTCCTAATGGGTGAGTATAATCCTGAGCAAGACTGTAAAGTTTCTAAGGCACTTAGGGCCAGAGTGTCACCCCTGAGATCATTACTAGTATTAAACCCAAAACTATAGGGCTCTCGCCTTTGCAGAGAAAGGAGCTGGGGAAATGCCTTCATGGGGCTCCCTTCCTATGACTGCCTGCTATGTATGTACCTTCCTGCCAAGACAAATTTCCAGCCCACTGCACTCGGTTGACCACATGTCTCTCTTTTATTATTCTACTATCACAAGTATCACCCCAATAACAACTCATATCACTCTTGAAAGGGGTCATTTTAAGTGCCTGTGGCAAGAAAAGAAGAATGTAGTCAACTTCTGACACAATAGCATTCCAAGTGGCCTAATGCTTAAAAAATAAAGCCAAAGAAATCAAGGATAAAGCTAAAATCCTATTTAGAACAGTATGCCATAATAAAGAGTAAACATCTACTTACACAAATGAAATATTCCCAAAGACCAGTTTGAGTTGCTTCAGGAAAATGCCATAAAAGTGATATTTAAAAAAAGAAAAAGAAGAGACAATGAAAATAGAAAAACAATCTTAAGAGAAATAAGAATGGGCCCATGCAAGATTTATGATCTAAAAACTGCATAGAAGATACAGAAAGTAAAAGTACTAGATAGGAAAATAAGAAATATAAATTTCATGATGTAAAATGTAGAAGATATAAACATCTAAGAGAAACATTTTTATATACCTTCAAAGGCCTAAAATTAGAATTGTACTCAATTTTCAGGAAAAGTAGTAGTCACTCTTGGGTAAAAAACAAGGCAACACAAGGATCTATTTTTGATCATAGTTTTTTTTTATATGTATATTCTTAAACTACCTCATTGAGAGTCTAGCTTTTTTTTTTCCTCTCCTAATTTAATTTCCTAGAGGCTTGACCTGTTTTTTAAAATTATATAGGCATGTACATAAGCCCAGTTACAAGTTATATTGCTACATGCAATGTTTCACAAAAAAGAATGTGATGAATCACAACAGAATTATAATGTAAGGGTAGCTAGCTTGCAGGGAGAAATAAGAAAACTCAAAGGGATGTAGGTGGGGAAAGTACAACCAAGACTGACAGAAAAGAAAAATGCTAAGGTCAAGTTCACCATTCCTTCTCTTTTGGAGAACACTTACCTATCTCGCCACCAGCAAGAGAAGTCAGTACGACAGGAAATAACAGCAAATTCAAAGACCTGTACAAGACTGGAGATATTGACTAACAGAATAAACAGCTGGAAAACTGCTCTGAGAATGTTTCTATATCAAAACAATAAAGTCAGAATTGGTTTCATTTCAAGATTTAACTTCTGAAGAATAGAGATTACATAGTTATTTGTTTACATACATGCAATCAAAGAAGTCACTAAAGAAGCTAGTGTTAAAAATCTGAACAGATCTAAGCACTAGTAATTTCCTAAAAACTGGAATATTCATAGTCTACTTCAAACACAAAGGAAAAATAAAGAAATAAACACTAAATAGTGAAAAACTGTAAAGATGATATCAAGTGACACTCTTTTTTAAGATGTTTGAATATTAATATTAATTTCAAGTTTATCATAAAAAGTTTACATTACCTGAAGGTCCTGCCTGTTTGGCTTATACACTTATAAAATAGGGACTACCCATTAAATTGAAATCGCTGAGGAAGAGGGAGAAAAGAAGAGAAAATGACTGACATAAAATTCTCAGATAATTCTGTCGGCTTTTAGCCTTACTTCTATAGATACAAAACTATAAGGGGTAACATCCTTAATTAAAATAAGAAAAAACTTTATAACACAAAAATATTGCTTTCATACCCGTACTTGAGGTACTGTTTAAATGTCTGGTTAACTTAACCAAGACACTTAAAAAATGAAGTACTGCTGTTTTGTAGCCACCAGCAATGCTCTTTACTATCTTCCGGTTTGGGAAGATAGGAACTGCACACATCAATCCAGTTCATGAGTAACCTTTGCTGACATGCACTCCAAGAAGGAAACAGAAACATAAAATCAACTATTAAATGAAAGCAACTAGGAACACCTTTAAAAATAATAACTTGAGAGCAACCTTTTTGGATTATATTAATATTTACCCAGGAAAAAGTTAAAAGAATACAGTTTTAGACATATTAACTTTCACACCTAAATGTGATTTTGTGACCTTCAGTTATATTACCTGTCTATGATTCTATAGGTGTTGTTGATGTTTTATGGCCTTGAAACAGAATAAAACTAGTGATAATATTTAAATATAAACAGTTCTGACCACAGGACCATTGGTAATTGTGAAGATGTGGTATTAAAGTACATTAGGGCTCTTTTCTAAACCAAAAACTCACCCTTCTTCCTGTGGTCCTATGTTTCTCAACTTGCTAATTCTATTTTCTCCCTAAAAAGCAAGGTGTGCCACATATAGATGGGTAACAATGTTTTCTGCTAATGACAATTCCTAGGATGAATGGCCAAGAGGGTCACTCTGGAATTGAAAGAGGGAAAAAAAAAAGGCTTTATAGATTTTTCTTCAAAAGAACATAGGATTCAGGGGGGAAAAAGTAGAAATACAGAACATAGGTCTCTATATTCCCATTTAAGCAATGCATCAAAACTTTTATTGAAGACAGTGCATGCTGTCGAAAAATAGATTTAGAGCATTCAGAGCACTGTGCTAAATGCTGTGAATATCAAGAGGTATGTGAAACAGTTACCTCAGTAACTTAGTTTACAAGTAAAGTAGCAAAGATGGATAAATTATAACATAGAAAGCAACATAAAAACCTCAGAGATCTATACACAGTGAAAAAGATTACAAGCTATAGCCCAAGACTTTTAGCAAATTTTATGTTTTCTTTCATTGGCTAGCATATTTGAACTAGCAGGCCGGAGAAGCAAAGATCTGTCCATTGATGTCATTAGGAACATGACAGCCACCATCAGATGTCAAGCTAGCAGGCTTGGATCAATTTGTTACTGTCATCAGAACCCAATATATGGCAATACTTTTAAATAATCTTTGGTTGATACAATTTGATTCTATTAAATTTACATCATTTAACTGGGACCTTATGAGGAACTACCAACAAGAGGAAAATCTGTAAAATTAAAGTCTCCAACACACTTGACTCAGACACAATTTTCATGAACTGGACCCTCTAGACCAGCTTGTTTTCAGCTTTTAGTGTATGTAAGAATCACACCAAGACTTTCTTTTAAAAAATAGATTACAGGGCTTCAGCCTCCCAACAATCTGATTCAGTAGGTTTAAGGTGGGACTTGGAAACCTACATGCTTAAGTGGTCATGCTTGTAATGACACTGCAGCATGCCCAGGACCATTCAGGAAATCCTACTTCACATTCCACCATTATCAGCCATTCAACATTCTCTCAGCCTACGCATGCATTAATTTTTCATCATTGGGCCTACCTTAAAAATGAGATATCCCTGAAATAAGCCACATAAAGATTACAGATAAGTATAAAAGGATTTCAAAGAAGTGAAAGACAGGGAGCTAGAATAGTTGGGACAGACTTTACTGCCATGAAGTGACAGATACCAATTAGTACTGTTTTAAAAAAATTTGACAATCTCTGGTATGTAGGATGAATTATCAATTGCATCATTTATTCA